CAAATTTACTTACAATAAAATTGCCTTTTGTTGTGCAGACAGCCCTCTGAGCTCTAACACATGCACAGCTTCAGCTGCCCACCATGGCCAGCAATCTGTAACTATACTGAGTCGTCCAACTCATGGTCATGGTATGTGTCTACATTTATTTAGATCTTTGCTTTCTTTCATCAGTGTTTTGTAATTTTGGTCATAGAAACCCTGCACATTTTTTTTTTACTTATGTGAAATACATAAACGTTTTTATTTCTAAAGCATTACTATTTTTCACATTTTTGCATTAATAGTATATAGAAATGCAGTGGGGTTTTTGAGTGTTAACCTTGTATCCTGCAACCTTGCTAAACTCAGTAAATTCTGTAGGATTCTCTTTGTGGACAAATCAGGGCATCTCTAAATTGGGACAGTTTTATTTCATTCTTTTTTTATCTGCATGCTTTTTATTTTTCTTGCATTATTGCACTGGCTAGAATTCCAATAAAATATTGAGTAGGAATAACAAGAGTGTATCTTTTTGCCTTGTTTCCAAAGCTCTTTATCTGGTTATGAAAATGCCTTTATGTCACTGGTTTGCTGAAAGTTTTTGTCACGAATAGTTGTTAAATTTTGTACCATGTTTTTTCAGCATCACTTGATATGATCACTACTTTTTTCTTTTGAACCTGTTAATATGCTGTATTACATCGATTTCTGAATAATGAATCAACTTGCATTCCCACTTGGCTGTTGTGTATTATTCTTTTTATATATTGCTAGATTGAATTTATCATTTTGGTTGAAGACTTTTATGCCTCTATTCAGCAAAGATATTGCTCTGTAGTTTTCTTTTTTTAGAACACTGGTCTCAGAAAATAAGTTAGGAATCACTAGTATTCCTTCTTCTATTTTCTTGAAAAGATCATGTAAAAATTGTTGTTGTCATCTTTAAATATTTGGTAAAATTTGCCAATAAAATTATTTGGGCCTAGAGTTTTGGGGAGAAGCTTTCAACTATAAATTCATTCTCTTATATAAATATAGATTTTTATGGGTTTTCTATTTCTTCATGAGTGAGATTAGTTTGTGGTCAACTTTAAAGTTTATTCTAAAGTTGTTTGTATTATTCCCTAATCATCCCTTTAATGTCTGTGAAATTTTAGTCATTTCCTCTTTTTAATTACTTATATTAGTAATTTTTGGCATCCCTTTTTTCCATTGTCAGACTGACTAGAGATGTATCAATTTTATTAACCTTTAAAGAACCATCTTTTAGTTTCACTGATTTTCTCCATTGTCGTTCTCCTTTCGGTTTTACTCCTTTTTATTTCTGCTCTTGTCTTTATTATTTCCTCCTTGTGCATGCTAAAGGTTTAGTTTGTTATTCTTTACTAGTTTCCTAAGGCGGAAATTTATATTATTGATTTTTAAAATTTTCTTTGTATGAACACTTAAAACCAAACTGTTCTCTTTAATCACTGCTTTAGTTGCATACCATATGTTTTGATATGTTCTATTTCATTTTTGTTCAGTTAAAATATTTTTTCTAATTTCCCTTGAGATTTATTTGACTCATGAAGTATTTGTAAATGTTTTTTAAATTAATTATTTGGAGATTTTTTTCCAGTTATAGTTCTGATATTGCTCATTCAATTCATTTATATTTGTTAAGGTTTGCTTTGTGGCAAAGAAGATAGTCTAGAATTGCGAATGCTGTATGTGTGCTTGAGAAGAATGTGTATTCTGTTGCTGGTAGAGTGTTTTCACATGTCAACTAGATCCAGTCAGTTGATGATAATTCAGTTCTTCTATGTCGGTGGTTCTCATGGTGGGAGTAGGGGGGCAATTTTGCCCTCAGTGGACAGTTGGTGATATTTAGAGACATTATTGATTGTTATGAGTAGTATAGAGCTACTGGCATTTCGCAGGTAGAGCCTTCTGACCTTCTGTTGATAAACATCTTACAATCACAGGAGAAGCCCCTCCTACCATCAGCGCCCCACCCCCCGCCAACAACAAAGAGGTATCTGGCCCCAAATGGCCATAGAGCCAAAACTGAGCAACCCTATTTCCGGCTGAATTTCTCTCTAGTTGTTGTATTGATTATTGAGAAACAAGTATTGACATTTCCTATTGTAATTATACATTTTTCCATTTATTCTTTCAATTTTATCAGTTTTTGCTTCATTTATATCAAAGCTCTGTTGTTCAGTATACACACATTTAGGATTTTTTATGTTCTTGATAAAGTGTCCCTTTATCAATACTATATTTTGTAGTATTATTCTTAACCTCAGGTAAATTTTCATGCTCTGAAATATACGTTGTCTATACTGATATTAATAAAGTCACTCAGTTTTTCTTTAGTGTCTGCATAGTATGTGTTTTCCTATGTTTTAAAACTTACTTTTATTTATTTAAAGTGGATTTCTTAAAGATAGCATATGATTGGGTCTTTTCTTTTATCATCCATTCTGGTAGTTAGGCTTTTAATCGGTGTGTTTGGGACATTTTCATTTAATGTAGGTGTTGATATGCTTGGATTTAGGTCTGCTATTTTAATAGTTGTATTTTGCTTCTTCCATTTCCCTCTCGCTTTCTTTTATATTATTTGAATTTTTCCTGGATGCATAAATATAATTTATATATTGAATTTTTACTACATGTATACTTATAATTATATATAGGCAGATATACATAATATTATACTTTGTATAATTATACATAAAAATCTATTTTCAACTTTATGCACCTAGTTTTTTACTGTCTTTAGTGATTGCTCTGGAGATTTAAACAGCACACTTACCTTCCATGGTCTACTTAGAGTTACTATTTTATCACTTTTTACCACTTCAAAAGCAATGCAAAAGCCTTGCCTCCCGTCAGCTCCCGTCCATTCCCCCATTATGTTGTGCTTGTCATATCCCACCTCTGTGCATTGAAAACCCCATTAGACAGCATTAACATTCTTGCTTTCAACCATCACAAATATTTTAAAGACCTTAAGGGGAGAAAATAGTCAATTATGTTCCACAGAAATTTACCATTTCCGTTACTCTTCTTAAGTTTAGCCCAAAGCACAGTGTCTCTCACCTGAGGAACTTTCTGTAGGACTTCTTTCACAGCACCTCAGCTAGTGGCAATCCTTTTATTTTCCATTAATCCGACAATGTCTCTAATTTGCTGGTGTTCATAGAGGATTCCTTTATTCACTCTTTTGTCGAGGTTGTTTCCCCCCCAGCAATTTAAAAGATAATTTTGTAGTACCTCTGGCCTCTATGGTTTCTTCTGACTCCAGGGGCTGTCTTACTGCCGTTCCCTGAAGGTAATGTGTCCTTTTTCTCAGGCAGGTTTCAACATTTTGTTTAATTTTGAGCAGTTTAATGATGTTTCTGGGTGTGGATTTTTTTAAAATCAGTTATCCTCTTGGAGTTCACTGATTTCTTGCAAGTTAATTTTATGTCTTTCACCAAATTTTTCAAGTTTTACCCGTTTTTTCCTTCAAATACTTTTCTGTGCCACAACTTCATCTCTCTTCCTCTAGGGCTACATCTGCATGTCACTATGGAGATGGAGATGTATGTTTTTATCTGGCACCAGAGGCGCACGTTCTGCCCTTCTGTTGATTCTGCGATCGTGGTTACAATGTCCCTCCCGTTTTCAGAGACTTTGCGGTGCTGGTGGGGCCAGGCCCTCTGTCCCACCCAGGCACCAGCCTGGAACCTGCACAGCGGTCTCCCTCAGCTCAGTCTAAGCTGTGGGGCTCTGGGTATGGGACAAGGTACTGAGGACCCTATTCAGGGTTTCATTCATGCACCAGCAGCTCGGGGTGCATCTGGGAGATCACGCACAACTTTATTAAACTCCCTCCTCTGTGCAATCTTCCCAACACTGAGTGGCTCCCTCAACGCCCCCGCCAGCGCCCTTGGTCTTCTGGTTAGAAATCCAGGCCTTGTGTTTTCTAAATCCGCTGTTCACTTCCTGCCACCCTCTCTGCCTCCACGACCAAGTGACAGTGGGAGAGAGAAAGGCAACCTCCTCCTGAGATCAGTGTGGGCAGAGAATGGCTCTCTGCCTTGGTTCTAGGTTCCGGGTTCCGGGGCTGCCTGGCTGACTGCGATGCAGGCCTGCCTGAGGCCGAGGCAGAGGGGTAAAGCCAGGCCTTGCACACCCACTCTGAACCTAACAGGCCCCATTGCTACTCTGAGCCAGAGAGAGAGGCTCTTCTTAGAAATCTTTCTATCATCTCGGGGCACAGCTGCTCCCACTTTTTAGTTACTTCTCCGGCTGCTTGGCAGCCTTTGTGGCCGGCGTGCTGGAAGCCGCTGTCCATGCAGGACCTGGAGGTGGTGCACTCACGGTGGCCTAGGCAGAGTGGACTGACTCCTCCCACCCGAGTGGGCCGGACTTTTGTTTTCAAGCTGCTTTACTCCCTCTGGTTTCTCACAGCAACGTGATATAGAGGCTCCAATGCTACTGGCCACGGTGCTGTGCTCAGTGATTATGCCTGAATGTGGTGGGTCCTTGTTTCTAAAGAAGAGGGTCTGCTCTCCAGGCTGCTCAGAAGAACACTGACAATGCTGAGGGCTGAGCTGACCGATGCTCTCATGGGCTGACTCTGGGGACCTCCCTCCATCCCAGGAGGCTGTGGTCCAGGAGGACCAGCACAGGGTGGGACCCTCTGAGGAGTGGCCGTGGTGGCTTACAGGGAGCACGAGGCAGGCAGCTTTCACCCACTTCCCTTGGACACAGGATTATCTGATGAGGAAAGCATGGTGATGGCACACACGCCTGGCTGCTGGCGCTTCATGTGTTACATGAACTTGGTTCCTGAGAAAGAGCCTGAATGACGGAGCAGAGGAACTGCAGGCACCGTGGCCACCCCCACCGCAAGCATTTGTTTCCTCATGTCCACGCTGTGGTCTGCTGAGAATTCAGCAGACACACTGTGGCAACCTTAACATAACTCTAAAGACAGACTAGGTTTCTGTGAGAGTCTGGGAAGTGGTAGGTAGCCAAGAGAACACACAGACACAATTACATGTACCCCCGGGCTGGGAGGGGTCGGGTGTATTTGAAAGTCAAGGACATTGGAGAGATTATTAAGCCAGGAAACGACACAGCTAGATGGACACTGAGCCTCCTTCAGCCCCCCTCACTTACATCTGGGAACAGAGGTCTGAGGAAGGCAGGCAGTTTCCTGAAGGTCTTTGTCTCGGTGACTTCCGCTGATGCCCTAATTTCTCTCCACTTTCCTCTTTCTCTCCTTTTAAACTGTTAGAGAGCAAAGCATTATGCTCTGGGGGAAGTCCAATACTCACGTGTCATCTCCTAACTTGGTATTTTTCTCTTATCAGAGTATATCGTCTAGCAGCTTCAAGCGACTTTTTCCTCAACCTGATCACCAACCAACCAGAACAGCACACGTCAAACATACCCTTCACTAAGAAACATGGCCAAGAGTGGGAAGAGCCCCAAGGGCAAGAAGATCACCCTCAATGTGGCCAAGAATTGTATCAAAATCACGTTCGATGGGAGAAAACGCCTCGACTTGAGCAAGATGGGAATCACCACCTTCCCAAAGTGTATTCTGAAACTCAATGACATAGATGAGCTCGATCTTAGCCGGAATATGCTCAAGAGGATCCCTGATTCAATCTCCAAGTTCCAGAGCCTACGGTGGCTGGACCTGCACAGCAACTACATCGATAAGCTCCCCGAGTCCATCGGCCAAATGACTAGTCTGCTGTACCTCAATGCCAGCAACAACAGGCTGACCACCAACGGGCTGCCCGTGGAACTCAACCAGCTTAAGAATATCCGCACCGTGAATTTAGGCCTGAACCACCTGGATAGTGTGCCCACCACCCTGGGTGCTCTGAAGGAGCTCCATGAGGTCGGGCTCCATGACAACCTGCTCAGCGCCATCCCCACCAGCATCTCCAAGCTCCCCAAGCTGAAGAAGCTCAACACCAAGAGAAACCCCTTCCTCCAGCCGGAAGAGACGGATGTCTTCTTAGATTCCATCAAGAGGCTGGATAACTTATACCTGGTGGAGGCCAAGGATCTGTGCGGGTCTTGCCTGAAAAAATGCCAACAGGCCCGAGAGAAGCTGAACAAAATCAAGAGCCTAGTCCCAGTGACACCGAAAAAGGCTGCCTTCACCAATTTAATCGCGCCCAACTCCACGGCCAAGGAGTCCCAGGAAGAATGGAGGTGACCTTGTACCCTGACCCTGAGGCAGAAAGGGAACAGGGAGGGAGGAAAGATGGCAATGGGCTGCTTCCACAGAAAACTGAGAGGTTGCCCCATGACTGCAATAGTGCTTTCAGCTAAGCCCATAAAGTACTTT